AAACAGCAGCTTGAGAAGACATAGTCAATTATTACTTGGAGTTAGAAAACCAAAAGGGAAGAACACGCTCGGCATTTCTCAAGCTGAAAGAACTGAAGGAAAAACTCAAGCCTCAAGTTGCAGTATTGAAAGATTCTATGGGCAAAATATTTAATGATGTAAGAAACATCAGAAGAAGATGGAAAGAATATACAGAGTCACTGTACTAAAAAGAATTGGTCTGTGTTCTTCCATTTCAGGAAGTGCATATAATTAAGAACCAATGGTATTGAAGGAAGAAGTCAAACCTGCACTGAAGGAGTCGGTGTAAAACAAGGCCCCAGGAACTGACAATACCCATTGAGATGTTTCAACAAATGGATGCTGCACTGGAGGCACTTACTCGTTTATGCCAAGAGACTTGGAAGACAGCTACCTGGCCAACTGACTGGAAGAGATCCATACCTGTACCTATTCCAAAAACAGTGATCTCACAGAATGTGAAAATTATCAAACAATATAATTAATATTACAAACAAGTAACATTTTGCTGAGGATAATTAAAAAATGGTTGGAGCAGTAAATTGATCAACAAGGAACTACTAGAAATTCAAGCCAGGTTCAGAAGAGGATGTGGAATGAGTGATATCTTTGCTGATACCAGATGGATGTTGGCTGAAAGTAGAGAATGCCAGAAAGATGTTTGCCTGTGTTTCATTAACTATGCAAAGATTCAATTATATGGATCATAACATTGCAAAGAATGGGAATTCCAGAACACTTAATTGTGCTCTTGTGGAACCTTTACATAGACCTAGAGGGAGTTGTTGGAATAAAACAAGGGGATACTGCATGGTTTAAAATCAGGAAAGGTGTACATCAGGGTTGTATCCTTCCACTATATTTACTCTATCTGAATACTGGGCAAATAATCCGAGAAGTCAGACTATATGAAGAAGAATGCAGTATCAAGATTGAAGGAAGAATCATTAACAACCTGTGATATGCAGATGACACAACCTTCTTTGTTGAAAGTGAAGATGACTTGAAGCACTTACTGATGACAATTAAAGACTACAATGTGGATTACACCCCATTATTTAAAAAAAAAAAAAAGAAAAAGAAAATAAAATCCTCACAACTGGACCAATAAGCAGCATTGTGAGAAATGGAGAGAAGTTTGAAGTTGTCAAGGATTTCATTTTACTTGTATCTACAATCAATGCCTATAGAAGTAGCAGTTACTAAATCAAAGGATATATTGCATTGGCAAATCCTCTGCAACATAAGTCTTTTTTTTTTTTTAACCACAACAACAACAAAAAACCTTTCCCTGACTTTTTACAATAATGAACTAATACAATATTT